AATACTTGACAAAAGACATTTTCAATCGAGATATTTGTTACTAAAAGACGAATGGTTTTACAAAGGGAGTATGCACATTTACACACAAGTCTGTATTGTACATTGTGGTGGGGCTTGTGAAGGCCAGGGCAAAAGAAGAGCACTGAGCATCTGAAGTTTAATGTACAATAAATAATGACAAGCTTACAAAACTATGCAACACTACCACCTACACTCCCCTGCCTCGACATGCAGGCAGCTATGCCAAACTTTGTACATAGCCCCTCCTATACGGAATGCCATCACGTTAAGTCATAGTGATATGTATTTTTATCCACAGAAAAAACAAAGCATTATACAAATCTAGTCAGTGTGAGTATGGGATAGGATGTCATTTCTTACAACCTTCCCTACCATTACCCAGCGCTGTTGCCCACATTGTAATGGCAGACATCTCTTTGTTTTGATGTTCTTCAAATTAGGCCGAGTGTTGGGTCAGACTAGAACGACTAAATAGCGGAATCTCAGATGAAAGGGATGACGACTGGCTTAAGGGACTAGATGTGCCTTTTCAAGGTCACTATCATCTACGCACATTCAAATGAAGGCTTCGCCGAATTTAAAACTTCGTTTGAGAGTGAATGAATTGACAGCTGAAAGTTACACACAGATAACATCAGTCGTGAAACTATAGTAGTCTCTTTGTCCAACTCACAGTTGACTTCGTGGTTTCAATTTCAATTCAAAGGATGACTAATACCAACATCATTCTGGGTATGTGACGCCTGACTGTGCAATACTACACCACTGAACAATCAGAAGCGGATGGAACATGAAAGTTCAGTTTACATAATATTAACAAACATTTGAACGAAAGCGGATTGTGGAAAACTTTGAAATTATTATCGCCTTTAACGTCAGGATTTTCAAACGTGCAACTGTTATGTGGTATCGGCACGTATATTGATAGAAACCGTTATCAAATGCCAGTAAAACAGTTTCCAGGATATGAAAAAAGAAACATAATGAAAAAGTTACGATATCTAAAATAAATTAAATTAAAAAAATAAACCGACAATGAGCAACTTATGATACCATTTATAAAAAGTGCAATGATATCTGGCTTACCATACCGAGGACAGGAATAACATCGATATATATGTTTTCAGCCCAGAAATGTTTTGATAACGTTTCTACGCTGTGTTGGTCCAATCCACCTTCAAAGCGTATAATGTTTTTTGCCTGCAGTTTCTTTCAAACCGCACACGAAATTCTGGTGTCTGAGGGTAAAATCATCATAAATTAAGAACTGTTTTTTTTCTAACTTTTGCAAAATGTCAATTCATAACAAGACAGTAACCTGTCCAGTCTATGTAATTTTGCAGGTGAAAAGCTTCTTTTGTCTTCATTGGAAATAATACATCGGGCCTTGAAAACCTACGACTAATTACCCCAACAGGTACATGTGCAGACTTGAATACCACGGCCCATGTCTACACATTGATGGAGGCGGTGTGGACAGACAGACGTTTTGGTCGTGGGCAGTTAAACCGACATAGTGTATTGACAATTACGTTAACCTCATTACTGGATGTATTGATTAGACAGTTCTGGACATGTGTTAGTTCCGCGTCCATAAGAACCATTTAATATTTGTATTTCAATCGATAACGTAATCCTCGTTAATGAATTGTAAAGTTGATTAAATATTGTTTAAGATTTGATTTGTGTCATGTTTATGTTGCCATATGGAAGATTTACTTGTACCCAAAATACAAACTCCCACCTATTTGTGGTTGCGTGGGGTTGTGGATCTCCGTTCGATGTGTTTCTTTTGGTAGAGGAACAAGTATGACCAATTGTACATCGAAAATATTTATAACATTTACTCATATGAATTTACTTCAGACTCAGCAGTTGTCAAGCTACATGACGGTTCCCTGTTAATAATCGAGTCTAGACGGACTAGTGATTGATATTATGAGAAACAATCCATTGGGTGCGATCACACGCGTTCAACCAAGTCACCGAGTCCATTAAGTCACCTCTTATCACAAGCATATGTTGTTGGGGGCAATTCTAACCCGGAATCCCCACACTGGTCCCATGATTATGACTTGTGTCATGGGTAAACAACAAAAGTATGAAAATTAGTTTGTTTTCAGAACGACATAATGGTGCAAAGACGTCACTGTAAAAGACGTCATAATTACATATAGCATGTATGTTTTGTGCTCAATCGGTCTGATATCAAAAGAATAAACACGCCTTCATTATGTCTACAGAGCACAGGGAAATATACTACTAAATGGGTCAGCAACAATCAATTATATGCATGGCAATATTGAAATCTTTATCAGAGATTAGTTAATGTGTCGCCATTTATGCATTTTTACTATTAAATCTTGTTCTTGTGAATAGCGTAATACTATATGTTACTGCTACTGATTTTTCTAAAATGTGTAGATATAAATTTGCATTGATCAGCCACGTTAAATGTATACCTTGTTATTCCAATAAAAATGTTCCAGCAGCTCATGAAATAACCGGAATAGTACATTGTACCTTTAGAAGAGGTTTCTTTTGATTATAGAAAGGGTTTTGTGGCTTTTATTTGCAACATGTGAACAATAATGACAGGTTTTCCTGCTCTTTTAATGATTTGATTTTATGACCCAGAAGAAATACAAACCATGCTAATGTTAGTTTGAAACACATCAAATTTACCCAGAAATTGACGAGACCTTCGATTTCAAATCACTCATTGTTATTGTTGGTTTAATTGTAATTCATAATAATATTTGCGAAATATGATTCAGTTGTGAAAGCAGCGGCTTTCTGTGAGAACAAATGACACGTCACGCATAACAAATCTTGATCCAAACTTTTTTGAAATGTAAATTCCCTCAAAACGTATACAAACACGACATTGTATCAATTAACACATGAACCCTTGTATGTGTCATGCAATGTACCCAAAAAATAATTCACTCAAATATTGGAATGAAGTGTGAAAAGAAAAACAAGCAAGGTTCTCCACGGCCATCTCTGGAAATTTGACAGTTGCAAATCCGGAAGAACTTGAAAAAGACGTTTCTCCACCTCCATCGAGATCCCCAGGTTTTGCATTACAAATATTTTCATCCGGTCGACAAAAGTCAATTAAAGTGTCGCTCAGTCGCGTGTTATATGTGCCTTAAGTCAACTTCAAATTGGAATGTGTCTACATTGATCTGTGAGTGTTGGACGGAATTTGCATAAAGGCAAAATTGCGCATCTCACGGATCTTTTTTTTATAGTGATGATACCAAGTGTTCGCGAACAGGTGCTCTAGCGCATTTATGATGAAATGCTTTGTCTACGGATGCAGAAAACCGGACGATTCGGTACGATAACAGCCTTATTGAATACATATGTTAATGCGGTGTGGAGGAAGCACTACTCTGATTTATCTGCCAATGCTAGTTGCAGAATAACAATGCTATACATTAGAGATCAACCCTTCTACGGTAGACTATAAGTAGAACGTCCACATTTTAAACTATTTCTGTATGTATCCGTGGACGTTGCTCTCTTACAAATATTAGCACGCGGCTAAAGAAAAAATCGCCGAAACGCAACCCGAATTGGTGAAATGAATGAAAGGTCCAGTGAAGTGGTGGAAGCTTTGTTTGTCGGGTCCAGGGCACACGAACGTGGTATATTTACCTGCCACGTAGCATGCTAATTGGGTCAGGTTGAAACAGGTAGCAGAGCAATTGAGGAAACCCGTGTTTTCACTCCTGTTAAGTAGACACGGTCTTATCTCAGTGTCTGGCTGGGTGTATCCAGAGCGTGCACTGGTACATGTGTAGAGTAGCCAATGTTTCATGAGGATATGTTATGTATAGTGATAGCAATATGCAGGAGAAGGGGATTTTGATTAGAGAATATTTATGAGCTTAACTGAAATACGGATTGTCTGCTCTGAGTGAAATTAAGAAATATATTCATGATTCACGAGGAACAAATTGTTTTTAATTTTTAATTTGAAGTATTTGAATGTTTCTATATAGTACTCATTGATATCTTGAGAAATAAATCAATACACTGTTTGTTCCTTGTAACGACTTCATATTAACATTTATTACGTCAGTAGATGATGTCATTTCATCTTTTGTTTCATTTTGTTTGTTTGAGTCTCTTTGATAAGGGATACACTTAGAATCACTACCATGCAAATGTCAAAATAACTTCCATTCCATATTTGCAAAACTTAACACTTGTAAGACAGTATATATGTATGGATTTATTAATTGCATATAGGGAGAAATACGTTTCAGTGGTATTTACATACTCTCTCCACAAGTAAGAGTCTAATCATGAAACAAGATGTCAACATGTTGTTGGGCTTTGCACTGTTGGGCTATAACACCTGCAAAAATCCGCCCTAATCTTTTAGGCCTTTTTGGGATCATTAAGCTCACATTCTGTTGATACTGACCAATACAAAATACCCCGCAAGTTGTGATATCGGACGTCATTAACTTGTTAACATCAAGACAAACGATGAGCCATGCTGGCTAAACCCTCAGATTTAAATCACTTTAAAGGCTGACCAAAGCACACTCCTTTATCCCAAACCTAATATATAAAGAGTACAATGTCCAAGTACACCTTAGAATTCCTCACTGTGACGCACACGCAAAATTGGTCCGCCAAATCAGAACCTGCCCAACTGCCTGATCAGGAGTAGTATGCTTCAAATCACACCCGACATCAATATTTTAAAGGAAGTGTCCTCTGACCACTATTAACAGTAAATATATCCAAAGGGTGAAACCTTAATCTCAGTGAAAAAAGACAATCCTAGGGCTGTGGTGCGAGCAGACGACAACAGGAGCAGACGATTGTACAGGCAGACGATACCTGCTTGTTAGTGTTGGCGAGCGTCAAACAAAACAGTCAGCCAATGAGCGTCGAGGAGAGCAAAGGGATGACGATGTTCATAGGTGTAACGACATCACGTCGGATGTGTGTGCAGTAACAGCAGCACAGAGATTCAGGCATCTGGCAGAGAAAGAGGAGGACAATTAATCAAGGATGAGTTCCACATAGACATAGAGATAACGCATACACGTTATATCACGGACAGTACCAGCAGGCGTCTTACTGAACTGTTGTGAGAACTTTCGTTTTTCGTGTTGGGCTTCGATATTTTAACATTTTAGTCCGTCGTTCATTAACTGTGATTAACGCAGAACTGAAAGCGGCGATGCGGCATATATTGGCGATACTGATCGGTTCTTGGAGTGTTCTATGTTCCGTTCTGGCGATCACACCTACAAAGGTAAGTATTTATGAACAATATCTGTGAACATTATAATGTAGTGTGATTTTGTAAACTTTAAAATACTTTATTTAGAATTATTAAAGGAATTTGATCATACTCCACAGATGGTATACTTAGACAAATGTCGACATATTAAGACTGACACATAACCGTATCCATGTGTATTCTTCGTATAGTTAATGTAGAGAAATATTCCCAATGGATTTTATTTTCTTGAGATACGATGACAATTTTTTTATCAGTTATATCTGTTTAATATTAGTGGGAAGGGAAAAAAAAGGGATGTATATTTTATAATACACCCAGAACTTCGTTCTTCGCGCTAAATCGGTGTTTAATCATACATATGTCCACAGCAAGTGTTTGACATACTTTAGAGGACATACCTCCTTCGCTTATAGCTATCGCAATCTCTGTAAACTTAATCTCTTCTGAATTATTTTGTTTGACACAGTGTATACCATAATATTAGAAACTCAGAAATCTGGTTCACTCGACTTCAAAGATTATTTCCTAGCAAATGTAGAACATCGTATCTGATAACACATGTGTGCCTGTTGATATAACAGGCATATTTCAACAGCATTTTCGTTATTTGATAAATATATTTAATTTAAAATACATACATAAGCAGAAATTGAATACTGTTCCAATGTCCAGTCATTGGAGAATATGTTGTTTGTGTATGTAGTTTCATGATGAATTATCTACCAAACTTTTATACGTGTCAGATCACGTAAACATTCATAACATTTGTCATGTATAATACTAATTAGATATATTATTATACTGGCAATAACTAAGTAACTGTAATTTGATCATAGATGAATCAATTAATTTGTCAAATTACAAATGGAGATCGAGCAGAAGACTCATCGAGAGTGAGATATATACATGTATGATGTAAAACCACTTGAATGTTTTCTCCAATGTCGATACAAATATCCAACGGTGACCTTACAGAGAAATGCTAGCATTAAAAACAATTTGTACATAAAGAGCTATTTGTCATATAGGACGATGAAAATATGCATACTTCGTCAAGAAATCTGTAGTAGTGTTTTCATATGATGGTATGTATATGATATATGCTTCTTTCAAAACGATAAGGCCAGATAAATTTGATTTGAAGCTTTATGTTTCATAATGCTTGCTTTGAAATTTATGCTATGTTCAATCGAAGCGCTAAATACTTTCATGCATTAAATACATAATACACCCATTTGAGGTACAAATAAAAGACAAATATGAATAATATTGTTTCAAGGATGATGTAAATACCCTTAAGTTCTCACACCTTTTGTGATGGGTGTTGATGGAATATGGTATATACACATACGTGCATAACCAGTGCATGTAAGACCTTTTGTCAACAAGTGAAGTTGGATATCAAACTGATGCAAACAAGAGAGTGCATAAAAATAAGAATGATTTTCCGTTTTAGAATATTATAACATATTCACATACTGTAGTTCTTCGGAAAGAATTGTTGAGATTCTATATCAATATGGCTGGGAGAGATATGTGAGTAAACGGATTTGCGAAAAACAAGGCCCGAAACAATAGGTAGACTTTAAATCTTTGTTTGGCACCGTCGTTGAGCACATGCTTAAATAAATACGCATAACTCAAGAACAAAGTAAGGGCTAGAGTATCCCCCTGTCGCACTCCTACTCTGGTTCAACATAATGGTATGTGGGTCCATGCTGGCTCTGACTCGTGTTGATTCCAGTTATGTTTGTTCACAGCAATGTCGTGGTCCAGCTATGTTCGTTTTACACGAACATTGTTTCTACGAAAGGTTAATAAGGTGAAATATGACTTTAGTTTTAAAAGACACAATAGGCACATTATAAGCTAAGGGGTTAATCATGTCAAGAATGATCCAAGTCAAAAATAGGAAGGTTTGAAAACATTTATTGCATGACTTCATTATGCACTGATAAAGGTATTCGGTTGTGACAATGGCTAACGCTATCATCTTATTATTCATAAGCGACATCATTGCTCCTCATAAAGGATGTACATTAATATCTTATCTCATGTTCTGAACATGTTCTCATTTAGAATAACATCAAATACGTGATATCATTTTTATATTTTGTGTTTAGAATTGTTCACGATTGAAACATGTCATCATGCAATAACATAATATACTCTTTCATAGATGTCAGATATTTTTACTTGCATACTTGCAGTCCTTAAATCTCATGTTTGGGAAATATGTTTCGCTTTTTATTCAGAGCCCCCAAAGTTGTCAGTTGGACTTTTCGAAACTTATTCGATGAATATTGTCAATACTGATACGATAACACTATCTTCTGTCTACATTTATGCGTTTTTATGATATAGATGATATTGTACTACCAACATCAGAGAAACAATTAATTGTAAAGGTGACCTCAGACACATAATTGCTTTTGAAACTATTGACGCGTATGGAGCAAAGGACAAAGTGTTTTGAAAGGACAGCACGCACATAGATACGTGATGGAATCTTCAGCTTGTAAGGTAGGGTAATGATGAACTAACAATGCATGACAATCAACGCTTACTGGACGAAGGAAAACGGAGCTAAACGTGATGCATAATGAGGGTAGGCAAAAAGAAGGCTATAGTTTAACAGCTTTACATCATGTCTCTGTTCATACTACTTTATGTCGCAAAGAGGCTCAGGTACATTTCAGTAGCTTTAATTGACCCCTCTCCCCTACTTATGTGGTTTGGAGATGTGGACGAGATGTGACCCGAACACAGTGGCCGTCTGTGTTTAGCTACAGGGCTGGGCACACATTTGTCCATCCTGTCACCACCCTGATACCACGTCCCATCCACCTGTCTTACTAACGCCGATGTACGTACACCCCAAGGTATTGTCAGTCTAGGTAAAAGAAACGTTACTTGGTATAGCCCTTAAAAGTAGTACCTGAATCTCAGGTGTGTCGTTATTGTGATGTTGAGTCACTTTTTGTCATTCGATAGTGTCGTATGATCTCAATACGGTTATTACTTAACACGACCTGTATGAGACACCCAAAGCAAGTCAAGGTATTATTGGTTAGAAATATATGTAATGCTGAATATTTTTTTCTAATAGGGAGGCTGATGTGACATATGTTCAACATATATGCGATCCTATTCCTAATTCTTTGTACTTATTTAATGAAGAACGAAACAACCCTCCTTGAAGACAAGTCATGTTATCATGTATATGGGGATCAAATACTGTATATGCTGGGAAACAGTCTTTACCTCGAATTAAAAAACATGTTGACTGTTCACTTGAGTGACTCAGCTGTTCAACAGATGTGAAGCCCATTTCTGGTGTCCCCCGCCGTGATATTGCTGGAATATTGCTAAAAGCGGCGTAAAACTATATTCACTCACTCACTCACTGTTCAACAGAAATTCTTTCAGTCTGCCTCATTGACATGTTTTTCAGAGTAAGATCATGAAGATAATTAAGAAAATACATAATATATAGAATAGTTTTTTTTCAAATAACATTCTTTATCCTAACGTCCTTCTCATGACATAAAACAGTTTTCATTAGGTAAATTACATGCATATGTAACACAATATAGGCATAAGCCGGAGAGTTGTTCATACTTCGATGTTTACGTTTATTCAAACAAAGTGGGATCTATGCTCCTAAATCATTGTATGAAGAGATAAAAATGCCCTGTCCGACAGGAAGCACTTGGCGAGAGTGGGGGTCTGTCCGACAGGTAGCATGTTACGTGAGTTAGGGTCGTCTCACTAGGTAGCACCTAGTGTCAGTACTAGTGAGGTTCTGTCCTGCAGATATCACCAGGCACAAGTGAAGGTCTGTCCTACAGGTATCACTTGGCGTGAGTGAGGGTCTGTCCTACAGGTAGCACCTGGCACAAGTGAGGGTCTGTCCTACAGGTAGCACCTGGCGTGAGTGAGGGTCTGTCCTGCAGGTAGCACCTGGCACAAGTGAGGGTCTGTCCTACAGGTAGCACCTGGCGTGAGTGAGGGTCTGTTCTACAGGTTGCATGTTACGTATGTGAGGGTCTGTCCGACAGGTATTACATAGCGTGAGTGAGGGTCTGTCCTACAGGTATCACCTTGTGTGAGTTAGGGTCTGTCGTAAAGGTAGCACCTGACGTGAGTGAGGGTCTGTCCTACAGGTAGCACCTGACGTGAGTGAGGGTCTGTCCTACAGGTAGCACCTGGCGTGAGTGAGGGTCTGTCCTACAGGTAGCACCTGGCGTGAGTGAGGGTCTGTCCTGCAGGTAGCACCTGACGTGAGTGAGGGTCTGTCCTGCAGGTAGCACCTGGCGCGAGTAAGGGTCTGTTCTACAGGTAGCACCTGGCGTGAGTGAGGGTCTGTCCTACAGGTAGCACCTGGCGTGAGTGAGGGTCTGTCCTGCAGGTAGCACCTGACGTGAGTGAGGGTCTGTCCTACAGGTAGCACCTGGCGTGAGTGAGGGTCTGTCCTGCAGGTAGCACCTGACGTGAGTGAGGGTCTGTCCTGCAGGTAGCACCTGGCGTGAGTGAGGGTCTGTCCTGCAGGTAGCACCTGACGTGAGTGAGGGTCTGTCCTACAGGTAGCACCTGGCGTGAGTGAGGGTCTGTCCTGCAGGTAGCACCTGGCGTGAGTGAGGGTCTGTCCTGCAGGTAGCACCTGGCGTGAGTGAGGGTCTGTTCTACAGGTAGCACCTGGCGTGAGTGAGGGTCTGTCCTGCAGGTATCACCTTGTGTGAGTTAGGGTCTGTCGTAAAGGTAGCACCTGACGTAAGTGAGGGTCTGCCCTACAGGTATCACCTTGTGTGAGTTAGGGTCTGTCGTAAAGGTAGCACCTGGCGTGAGTGAGGGTCTGTCCTGCAGGTAGCACCTGACGTGAATGAGGGTCTGTCCTACAGGTAGCACCTGGCGTGAGTGAGGGTCTGTCCTACAGGTAGCACCTGGCGTGAGTGAGGGTCTGTCCTGCAGGTAGCACCTGGCGTGAGTGAGGGTCTGTCCTGCAGGTA